CTCTTGGCTCAGCGCTCTCCTTTTCTCATGTTTTCTGGCTGGCTAGGGGTAGGGACTGTTCTCATTCCATCCTACAGGTGAAGAGGTTCAGTCTCAAAGAGCAGATTGGAACCAGGCAGGCTGTCTGCAGAGCACTTGCTCTTAACTAGCCCCTCATTGAAGCTGGAATTCTTCCTCATACTCTGTCCTTCCCCATCCACAGCATCAGTGAGCCTCCTCCAGCTCCCATCTCTCCTCGGATGAGCAGAGAGGAGCCTCGACCTCGGAGACACTTGCTGGGGTTCTCGGCCCAAGAGCCTGTTCATGGAGCTGAGCCCCCGCAGCGTCCCGCTCAGGGCCCCGAGGAGCCCCAGCCCAGCCCTGCAGGCCAGCCAAGCTTCAGGTGAGGAGAGGGCCCTCTCTATTTTGGGGGTCCTGAGTGTGTCTTCTCCCTCAAAGCTAACTTTGGGGAGAGCCAGAGTTGTTCTTTTACATCATTGCCTTCTTCGTTGATGGGGGAGTGCGGGGCAGCCCCGGGTCATTGCCTCCTCCCTGCCTCACTCCAGGAACCTGACGGCCTTCCCTGGGGGCGCCAGGGAGCTGCTGCTGAGAGACCTGGACCAGCTCTTCCTCTCCTCTGACTGCCGGCACTTCAACCGAACTGAGTCCCTGAGGTGTTGAGGGTTCACCACTGGGGCGTCTTTCCTGTTGTGCTGAGCTCCCTCACTCCCCCTGCCCCCAGATAGCCTGGCTGTCCCGTGTGCTGAAGCACCAGCTCGCCTTGCCCTCAGTCCTCCTCTCCCTCCCTCGGGCGACGAGAGTGGGAGAGTGGCCGGGCATGGAGGTGTTACCCTTCCTCTGCTTCCCCAGGCTTGCTGATGAGCTCAGTGGCTGGGTCCAGCGCCACCAGAGAGGCCGGCGGAAGGTCCCTCAGAGGGCCCAGGAGAGGCAGGTAGGAGGGCATGGGGCTGCTTCAAGGATGGCCACGTGAGGACAGGGGCTAACTGTCCTGGGGATTTTAAGTAGTTATCAAACTGTGGGGGTTGGGGGCAGTGGAAGGATGGGTGTGAGGTGGCACTGGCTTCCAGGGGCCGTCTGTCTCTTTCCCTTTTCCCTTCACCCTCTTCAAATCCTTAGATACTTCTCCTTCCAGAAGTCTCAGCTGTGGAAGAAGTCACCTCCAGTTAAGGCAGTCCCCACCCAGCCCCTTGGGCCCCCAGAAAGGTGAGTCTTTACTGGGTGCTTATTATTAAGGGAGGTTCCACTCCAAAGAGCTATACCCCCAGGGACCGTCCTGTGCTTGTAGCTTTGTCACCCCTGGCATTATGCCTCCTTCATCCACCAGGGGTCTCCTGTCTCTTTTTCTCTCATCCTCTCCGCTTTCCCCAGTGGAAACTGGGCACTGGGTTTTAGTTCCTCACAATTCCTGTTTCCCCACTTGCCTAGGGATTCTGTGGGCCAGCTGCAGCTATATCGCCACCCAGACCGTTCGCAGCCAGAGTTCCTGGATGCAATCGACCGACGGGAGGACACATTTTATGTTGTCTCCTTCCGAAGGGTGAGTTTCTCCTCCTGGCCTGTCCCCATCACCCTGGGTTCTCTAGCAGTCTGTCTGCAGGTTGAGGCTGTAGAGTATGGCCGGGGAGCCTGTCGGCATCTTCTTCTCCATCCTTTCGGCCTGGCCCCTCTGTTTCCCAGGACCACCTGCTGCTCCCAGCCATCAGCCACAACAAGACCTCTCGGCCCAAGATGTCCCTGGTGATGCCCGCCATGGCCCCTAATGGTAATTCTTTCCCTGCCCAGTGTGGGGAGGGATCCTGAAATTGAGGGAGGGGGAAGTTCTGATAGGAGATCTAGCATGCGGAGTTGAGGGGGGAAATGGGGAGGGGAGCGAGGATACCGCAGAGATGCTAGATGCCTGGGTGAGAAGCTGGAAAGGGGTGGAGAGAAAAACAAGATACAGGAGACTGACGGGAGGCCACTGAGGGTGCGGGTCCTCCCTCACTGGAGGTGTTGGGCAGAGGAGGGGTGGGCTGGGAACCTGCCAGACTCTTACTTCCTTTTTTCTCGTGATGTCCTCCCCTCTGTGACCTCACACTCATCAATGCCATTTTCTCTTCCTACTTCTTTCCTTTTCCCTGCACCAACTCCATCCCTACCCTCTCACTGAACTCCCACTGGGGACCTGCCTTCTCACCCTTGCTCTTTCCTCCCTGTCCACCACCACTTTTCCGACCCCTCCTCTCTGTGTGCCTCCCCTCCCCTCTCCCTCACCTCTTCCCTTCTCACAGAGACCCTGTCAGGCCGGGGGCCCCCGGGGGACTATGAGGAGATGATGCAGATCGAGTGTGAGGTCATGGACACCCGGGTGATTCACATCAAGACCTCCACAGTGCCCCCCTCGCTCCGAAAACAGCCGTCCTCCACCCCAGGCAATGCCACAGGCGGCCCCTTGCCAGCTTCTGCATCCAGCCAGGCCCCCCCGGCTGCCCATCAGCCCCTCTACCTCAATCATCCCTGACCTCTGCTGCTCACACTGACTTAGAACTGGGGGGCAGGGGTGGGGCTGACCGAGTGGGACTGTTTTGAATTTTCCCCATCCCTGGGCTTGGGGCAATTGGTCAAGGAAAGACAGGTGAGGGGTTAAGCACCTATTTGGAGGGGGGTGGAATTTTACCTCTCTTCATGCCCCTTTTTGGAATATAGGGCTTCTCTCATTTCTAGGAACCCCCAGTCCCTCCTTCTTTCTTTGAAGGTATTGAGTGAGGTTAAGTGTGGTGGGGGAGCTCCTGTACACTGTTTATTCTTTTGTTTCTGTTTGGGGGGGTGGAGGTGGGAATTTAGTCCCCAGGTGGGACAAGGGGAGTTTTTACATTTGGGACCTAGTTACTGGGCGTAAAGGAGGCATGGTGGAGGGAGGCCAGGTTGATGTTTGTGCATATCTTCTTTTTTATTATTAAATAAACAACTTGGAGGGAGTTGAAGGAACAGTGGCTCATGACAGGGAATTTGGGGGAAGGTGGCTTCTGTAGGGCCCGTATGTCAGAACCAAGCACTGAAGACATAGCTGGCTCTGGGGTGGGGAGGGTGTGCGATTGCAGACCTCAAGTCATCCCCTTACCCCACCCCTGCAACTCTGGACGTCTGCTATCCAACGGGGGAGCGGGGGAGTGATGTCCCATGGCGTGACCAGCCAGAGGATACAGTTCCTGGAATGTGTCTGAGTAAACAGGAAGGACGGGGGGCCCCACGCCCTTTAGGGTGAGCAGCCTCCCTGGGTCCCTGGCCCTCTAGCAGGTTCTCCCCCGCTTGCTTTCCAGGATGAGCAGCTCGAACAAACAGTGGAGCTGGGGCCAAGGACTGTGAGCCCAGAGAGGAGGAGCCACAGGGGACAGGGGGCAGTGTTTGGAGAGAAGGGGGATATTGAAGAACATCTTCTTAGCCCTAAACTGGAGGCAACTGAGATTGAGAACCCAGTTGAAAATAAGGGATGAGTGAGGGGCCAGCAGGAAAGGCTGTACTTTCTAATTAGGAGGAAGGGGGACAGGATGAAGGGTGGAGGGCCAAGTCTCATTCAACCTGGTGGGGTCCCCCGTCAGCAGCTCCTGTCCGGCAGCACCTCCGGCCTGGCCCTGCAGAAGTGTCCTGGGTCAGTGGGAGGGTGTGGGCTAGGCCTGGGCTCAACGCCCAGATCACTGGACAGGGGCCGCCTGGGCCACAAGCCCAGGCCTGAAAAGGGGGAAGAACCTCACGTGTCCAGCCAGGCTCTCCCCCTTCCCCATTACTGTGTTTGGGGTGAAAACAGACCAAGTAACTACGGCAACCTGGAACCAGGGCCCCCAGGAACTAGGCCTCACCTCCTTCCAGAGGGCAGTCCTGGCTCCTCCATCAGCACTTCCTGTCCCAACGTCCCTCGAGCCTTATCCGGCCTCATCCAGGCGGTGAGTGCAAGGAGAACAAGGAGTTTGGAGGCACACCACCTGAGTGGGAGTGGGAGTCTGTGCTTTGCCTTTTATTAGTGGGCCTCCTTAAGAGGTAACTTAAACACTCTGAGCCTTAGTTTCCTTGTCTGTGAAATGGGCTGCTCCTACCCACAGCTCAGGGTTGATGTGAGGATAAAAGATGATGTTCACAGTGCCTAGTCCATAGTGGGCACACCCTCCCCTCTCCCTTGCTCCTTTCTCCCTCCATTTACCTGTCCTTTTCTCCTCTGTTCCACTTTTATCCCATCTGGGTCCATCACTGTTTCATTGTCCCATTGCTTTTTCTCTTTCCTGCCCCACCCGCCCCCACTGCTCAGGAAAGTGTTTGAAGTACTGGCATCAGCCTGGCGCTCTGGGGTGGGGCCTGCAGCTCCTCCTGCGAAGTGGCAGCTAGAGACAGCTGGCACTTGGGTGTGAACCAGGCAGGAATCAGGCTCTTTTGGACCAGGGAGTGGGGTGGTGGGAAGGCCCGAGAGGGGTGTGAAGAGGAGGTCAGTCGGCTGCAGGGGTGAAGGCAGGTGGGTGTCCAGCCACAGCCCCCGTTTGGTCACCTCAGCATGCTGGCCACTGTAACTTAGTGCCTCCTGTTGGCTCCTTCCTGTCTCAGGCCCTCTTTATCTTTCTGTTCTGCTTTCCTTCCTCAGAATCAGCCTTTTGTTCCTCTTACCACCCCTGACACACTCTCTCTCCCTCTTCTCTTTTCTCTAGACTTCTTTCCTGCATCGCTTTGCCCTCTACCCAGCACAAGTCCCCGCCTTCTCTTTCTGACTCTTTAGTCTGTTCATCTGTTGTTTCTCGCTGTTTTTGTATTTCCCCTTCCTTCCCCTCAGCCTCACTATCTGGTCCCTTTCTTTTTTCGTTGTCTTCCCATCCCCTCCCTCTGCTGACCCTGGACACGTCCTCCCTTGTCACACCACCCCCTTCGTTGCCCTCTCCACTCCTTTGTCCACATTCCTTGTCCCCTTCCACGACTTCCTCTCTTCTCCCCGCCTCAGCCCTCTCCTCCTTCCTCCCCCCTTCTCCCTTCACCTCCCCGCTCCAGTCCTCTGTCCTCTTCCCAGCTGCGGGGCCGGGACTGGGGAGCCTGACATGTTTGCCTCATCGTTCTGCTATGGCTTCTGGATACAGCACATCTGGATTCCGGGGCCCAGATGTGTGGTTGCTACAGCGACCTCAGTCCCTCTGGTAAATACGGGCGCCCACCCGCTCCAGAGCAGAGAACAAAATAATTCTGTGACTTTCTTTTGTCACGGGATAGAAATGTCCTCCCTCCTCCCTTTTCCCCACACCCATGGCTTCAGGCAGAGGAAGTCCAAACCCTTCCTTCTGTGGCTCTCTTGCCCCCTTTTCAGCCCCAGCTTCTTAGTTCTCCCATGTTTCATCCCAGGCTGTCTTCTCTCTCCACGTCCCCCTTTCTCACCACCTCCTGCCTCCAAATCTCAATAGTGGAGTGTTGACCCTGTGACTTATACTTGGCAACTTCTTCCAACTGAATCTACATGGTAACTGGATGCAGAAAGAAGTTTCAGAAATCCAGATCATCCACCCTTCCTTCTCAAACAAGTCCTTCCAGAACCCCCTTCATTTGTTTCTGCCCGAAGTCTTCAGTCTTCCCAGGGCTGTTCCTGGAGAAAGGGAAGGAACACAGGCTCTGGAATCAGAAAACCTGGGCTGAGGCCCACCCTCACCACCACTAGCAAGGTTGCTGGGACAAGTCCCTGAGAGCCTGGGAGCCTCCGAGTCCTCAGCACGAAGTGGCACTAAAATGTTGCGGTGTCAGCGCTTTGTAAACGGAAGCGCAGTACAACTGTTTTCTATCTTCCCCTCCCTGGGACCGCTTCCTTGGATTGCAGCCCCGGCCTCTCTTCGCTCCCTCTCCCATCCCTCAGGCCCTTGCCCTTAATTGCCCTTAGTCTCCTTTGTCTTCCTTGGCTTTCCCTTTCCTCCCGTGCTATACCTTATACCCCACATCCTCCTGAAGTCACGACAGGAACTTGGAGGTTCATTCAAGGATGGAGGCCCAGAGCTGAAGACACCTGGACTGAGGATTCAGAGAACAGCCAGAGCACCTGGACAGTTCTTGACGACACCTCAGCCTTTCTACCCATCACCCAGGACATCTGGGTGAAGGTGCCCCAGCTCTGACCACTGGACTCCCTGCCTTCCCGCTGGGGCTCCCTGCCAGGCCCTCTTGCCACACAGTCTTCTCTCACAGTCCTTGTACCAGCAGGCATTTATCAGGCACCTGCTCTGTGCAAGGCCTGGTGCTTGTCTGATAAAATGCAAGCATATAGGAGACACGAGCTCCTCCAAGAGCCTGAAATCCAGGGTGGGAGTCAAATTTTAGATAATGATTATCTGAAAACCTGGAATTACGTCTCTGTCAGGCCTCCGTGGCTTCTTCAAATGCCTTGCAAGCTTGTAAATGTCTGGAATCCGACACCCCGCTCTGACTCCAGCACCCTGTCTCTCCCCAGCAGTGGACTTTCAATACCTCAGAGCCATCCTTCCACCTCTTGCTCCTCTCCAGGGTCTCCTGGCCTCTCTCTGGGCCAAGTATACCTATGGTGACCATACATCCTAAATAATAAAACCGAGACGTAGGGTATAGGATGAAAAAAAAAAAAGGCTATGACCATGGGACAGAATTCCTGGAATTGGGGGGTATCAGAGAAAATGTTCTCTGTGCTCTCTGCTCCCCCATAAGATGCTGTTTCAGACCCCCTTCACCCTTTCATCTACTTTCCCCCAACCCCTGCCTGCAAATCTGAGGGAAGCCATTACCTATTCCAGGCTCTGGGGGCCTCAGGCCAACGCAGAGGAAGGAAGCTGAGCCCAGCTCTATCCAAGATGCTGACTTCACCCTCCCCATCAAAGCCAGGAAAAAAACAGCCACAGACACACGGACACACACGGGGACACCCACGCGAGAGCCCATGCGAGCCTTTGCCCTCAGCCCTGGGAGCTAACTAGGCAAATGGTACCACCACGTGCTGTCCCAGCACACCCTGACCTGGGAACACCACACACCCACGACCGTGGGGATCTGACCTGGGGTGCTGACACCTGTGGCCCAGCCCAAGCAGTGGAATCAGGCACGTCCAGGCTCCTGCATGTCACTTTCACCCATCACCTGCGACTTGGCCAAGCTACTCCTCAGTGGTGAGGATTGTAGCTGGGCGGCAAGAATTAATCCTCAGGTTGAAACCTGGGATGGGGTCTCCCTCAACCTGGATAGTTCTCATCTGGCATAAGTCTCCTTTCCAGCCCCTCATCCAGGTAGCAAAGCACGCAGAGAAATGAGGCCAGAGAAACAGCGCAGCAGCCTGATTTGGGTGTCAGTTTTCCTCTCTCTGCCTGAGATCAAAGTGACCTTTTACCCCAGCCCACAACTCTCTCCCTACCCCAGCCCCTCTTCCCCACAGGACCCAGACATTAGCCCCCTTCCACTTTTCACAACTTCGCCCCGCCATTTCTGCCCCTGCCTCTAGCTCTTTCTCCATCCCTAAAGCTTCCTCCTAACTTGCAGGCTTCCCTTCCCTATCTCCCCTGAACTCCATCTTTTCCAGGTCTTCTATGACCCAGGGTTCAGCCAAGCCCTTGTCCAGCCAGTGCCCAAGCCTCATCTGCCATTTCTCTAGGAATTTGCTGAGGTGGGAGAATCAAAAGGGGCCATTGATCCCGAGCTGAGAACCAGAGGTAGACCGAACAGTGCAGACATTCGGACAGGGACCAGGCAGCATGGAGGCAGGGCGAGCAGAGACAATAGAAGAAAAAGAGACAGCACAGGTGGGAGCAGTTGGGGCCGGGCTGGGGCGGAGGTGAGGACAAGGAGTCCTGGAGAAGGCTCCATGTTGGAGAGGGATTTAGGCTTGGGAGGGAGGTTTCCCCCTGTCATCCTCCCACTTTGCTCCCTGCCCTGCACTGCCAGGAGACAATTGGTTGGGGAGGGGGGATGAAGGAGTGGGTGTTGGCCCAGACAGATCGGGCAAGATCCAAGCTGGAGCAGTGTGGCAGCTGGGGAGGGCGGGGAGGTGCAGGGGAGGGAAGAGGGAGAGGGGCTGGCCATAGTGAAGGGAGTTGGAAGAGAGAAGGAATCTGGCCAGAGAGCTGGAGCAGCAGGTGGGGAAGTGGTGGGGGGAAAGGAGAAAAGGCATGAGGGATGGGGGTGTCTAGTTGGACAAAGATTAGGGTGAAGAGGAAGAGTAAAAATGGGATAAGAAAAGGACGTGGGAGGTCAGACCAGGGGCGAGATGAGTGTATTGTGGGACTCAGTGATCCCAGACAGGGAGGGGGGTCGGGGTGACGGCGGGAGAGGGGGGTGGTATGTGATGACGTTGGGAGGGCCTGGCAGGGGCGGGAGGGTGGGAAGACCTGCCCTATCTCCGCTCCCCTCCCTGACCTCATGCTGGTCCTCCCCTTCTCCTCCCCCTGCTCGATGCAGGCTCCCTCCTTCTCACTGTCGCTGCCCAGATCGACTGTCGGGTCAGTGAGCCCCTGCTGCAGGGAATAAGCAGGGGACATCCAGGGAATCCAGGGCTGCCAAGGGGCACCTACCACCCTGCCCTGAGCGCCCCCTTCCCAAGGTCGGAGACAGAGCAGGTGCAGAGGGACTGCAGCCGCTTGTTACCCAGGTAAGGAACGGTGCTCTTGGGAGACGGAAGAGCCGGGAGAGGTGAGGACTTCTGTCCCCACACCACAGGTGAAGGCTGACAGGAGAGCTCTCAGGAGAGCCTCCCAGAGCAAGGGCTTTCCTTTGGGGCAGAGGAAATCGGACCATGCACTGGGGACTGGACTCCCTGTGGAAGGTGTGTCTGGGAGGTGGGTCAGTGCGTGTGTATTTGTGTGCAGGGCGGCGGGTGCTGGGGTTTGGACAGGACCTGGTGGTGGCACCAAGGTGGCGGTGGCTATCGGTGAGGAGGGGCTCTGGGCCCCGGAGGGGTTGAGGCTGGGGGAAACCAGGGACCAGGCTGAGCTGGTGGCCAGCTGAAGGAGGAAAGTGCTGGTGGAACCCCAAGTGCTGTGGCTGGCGAGGCTGAGCCAGAGCTCCAGGAAGGAGCTTCTTTGAGCATCCAGATGGGAGCTCCCCAGGTGACAGCACGTGGGTTACCAGGCCTGGGAGGGAGGTCTGGGGGTCTTGAGCCTTTAGGAAATGCTGAAATGGAGCAGAGTCAGGACTCCCAGGTCTGGGACGGGCACGGAGCCTGCAGAGAGAATCCTAAATCTTGTTCTTGGCAGAGAGCTTTGCACCCATGACTCACGGTTCAGCGGGGCTGGGATGATTGAGAGATGCCTCCAGGGTCACAGGGCTCCGTCTTCATTCCGTCCCCCTTCCAGGCGCTCCCTGCTTCTGTCCGTCTGAACCTCCCCCCTACACGTGACACACCCTGGGTGGGACGGGCGGGCCCCTTATCTCGCCTGGAAAGAATTTAATGGCTTGGAAACAACTGGAAATGGAACTGAGAGGAACTACTGGGAAGCAACTCGGAAACACGGAAACACCACAGCTGCTGTGTGTCCACTTCCAATCCCCACCCACTTCCCAGATCCTCAGCCCCCTCCCCTTTCCCTGGCCCTGCCTCCAAACCCCTGGGGACCCAACACCTCAATTCTGCAAACTTCCTTTCCCTCAAGTCCTGCCAGGTCACCCAGTGCAGGACCAGAACCCGCCTTCCTATCTCTCACTGACCACCCCCACCCCCCACCCCGACTCTTTCCCACTGGGGGTCTGGAAATCCTTTCTCTTAATTTTTACATTTCTCTGGCCTATTAGCTCCCCAGAATAAGAGGCATCTCCAACTCCCCACTCCTGGTACCTTATTGCCACCTGTTTCCAACCCAGTATCTGGACCCACCCTCATCTCCCTCCTTCATCTCACAGTCTTGGAATCCTTCTACCTTCAGTCCTCTGGTGGCCCAAGGAGCAGAGGGAAGCACGGGGATGGGACCAAAATCCCCCCTCTTTAGAACATCCCTCGAGGAAGCCAGCTCTTTCCCCACCTCTTGAGACCTACAGTCCCTGATGAGCAAAGTGTCAAAGTTGGCTATGACGTGAATACCCAGCACACTTAGTCACAGCTTGGGAAGATGCCCCCACCCCTGCCAGCCCCCCAAATGTGGGGAGGATGCCAAGAGGGTGAGGCCGCATCCCCTCTCCCTCTCGCTCCACTGTACAGAGGCACCCAGATGCAGCGGTAGGAGGGATGATGGGGGGAGACACAAGGGACACACAAGTTTTCTGTTTTCCTAGTGCTGAGAGAAGAGCGGAATTCTGCCAAGAATTGAGAGTGAGGAGCTGCCAGGCAGGAGATGAGAGGTGGTGGTGGGGGCAGTGGAGACTCGGCAGGAGAGGAGGACAGGGATGGAGGCTCTGGGGGTGTGGTCTGTGGGGACCACTCCTCTTCTCTCAGTACTTTCCCACTTCTTTCCTTCCTGCTGCAGAGACCCTCCCCCTTCAGTCTACCACGTGGAGAAAGATGCAGAATCCAATGGTGGGGGGTAGGGTTTCTGGACAGCTCTCAAAGGCCTCCCCAGGTGTGGGGCACCCGTATCCTCTGCTCCCTACTGGAGAAGGACCTCCTGTGGGATTCCCCTCCAGCTAAGTTCTTTGACTCACACAGCTGCCCTCTAAGCCAATGAGAAATCAGCTTTTTTAGGCATCACTTGGTGAATGGGTATGAAGGAAATGAAGAAGAAAGGGACTGTGTGTGTGTGTGTGTGTGTGTGCGCGCGCGCGCGAGCCCAAGTACATCGTCCAACGTGTGTTCCTGCAAAGATGCAGGCTTCCTTGGGTGAATATGAGTATGTGTATACAAGAAGTATGGTTATATTTGTGTTTGTGGATGAGTGCACTTGGGTATATTTGTATGTGTACGTGTATTTGTGTGTGCACGCACCGGTGATGTGCACGGCCTCAGACATGGGGCAACAGGATTGGAAGGCAGAGCCCACTTCAGACCCCAGGCTATGCTCCAAGCTGAGGGGAGGGCTGGGGGACCTCTCTGCCTGGGCTTCGTCGGCCAGGTTGCCTTTCAGTGTGGAAACGCTCTGTCCCTGTTGTCCAGCTCCCCTTCCGTCTCTTGTGGGATGGTGGCGGGGTGTGATGGCTGGTAGCCCTGAAAACTCCTTTTTCTCAGACGCAGAGGAGAATTTTAAGAGTAAGATGCCAGGAAATGTGAGCATGCTGGGGGGAGATGCTGGTCACTGTCCCTTCCCTCCTCATCAGTTAGCATTTCCACACTTACCTTACCCTCCTTCCTGCTCTAGCCTCTCTGGTCTGGAAGAACTGGGCACCTGCTGACACCTCTCCTTCACCCTTCACCTGAACCAAATCCTGGCCTGGCCACTCCACACTCCTCTGTTACCATAGCCCTCTTATGGTTCACCCTGAGCACCCCACTACTATCCCTCTCTAACCCTTGTCTCCCTGTGCCCCCCAATTTTTACCTCAGTGGATTCCACAAACAAACACAACTGGGTAACCAGCACCCAGATCAAGAAACAGGATATTCTTTGGGTCCCAGAAGTCCCCCACCATGCCCCTTCTGGTCACTACTTCCTCAGGAGTAGCACACTTGCGACTTGTAACACTACCAAAGAATGTTGCCTCACTGCATGTAAATAGAATGTTTCAGCGTGTTCCCTTCTGTGTCTGACTTCCCTGCTCCACCCCGTATGAATGAGACCCATCCATGTTACTGCATATTGTTGTAGTTTGTTCTGTTGCTTTATTTTATTCCACTGTGTGGACAACCCAGACTTTATGTAATCTATTCCACTGATGTGAGACATTTGGGTAGTTCCCCGTTTGAGGCTATTGTGAGAAGTACTGCTAAGATGGGTACATTCCTAGGAGTGGAATTGCCAAGGCATAGCGTTTGCATATAGCTCTAGTAGATTTAGTAGATTGTGCCAAACGGTTTTCCAAAGTGCTTGCACCGCGTGGCCCTGCCAGGATCCACACCTTGCCTGCTCCCTGGTCAGCTTCTGCCCCAACAGCTGTTTCTAACCAACTTTCAGTCCCAGACCCTGTCCGTGGTCCTAGCCCTGACCTTGGTCCTGTCCTTGATTTCAACCCTGATGCTAGTCCTGGGCTTAAATTGAACTATATAAATTGACTAAATATTTATATAGTCAATAAATATTTATCGAGAACCTACTATGTGCCAGATGCAAGGATGCAGCAACCAAGCTAAAAACAGATACTGTGCCTGCCCCCCTGGACCTTCCAGCCTAGTGGGCAAGATTGAGTGTGGGCAAGAAAGTAATAAAATAATCCTGCAAATAAATTTATGATTATAAATTGTTATAAATGCTACAAATAAGAGTTATGTGATGCTGTAATATCTCATGATGAGGAAACCTGACCTGGGCAGGAACGGTCTCCTGAGGAAGTGATATGGGGCTGAGACCTGAAGGATGAGGAAGCCAGGAGAAAAGGGAAGAGCATTTCACATAGAGGGAACCGCATATACAATGGTCTGGGGCTGGGAAGAGTGTGAGGGACTTAAGGCCAGTGGGAGTAGAGAGAGGGTGGGAAGTGTTATGAGGGATGAGGTGGGAGAGGTCAGTAGGGGCCAGATGATGTAGGGCTGTCAGTGTCTGAAGACAATTTGAAAGAGAGACACTGAAGAGTTTCTAGCGGGAGAGGGCCATCTAGCTGCCTTTACAAGATTACAAGGGGCAAGAATGGGAGAGGAGGGACCAGCTAGAAGGCAACTGCAGTTGTCAAGCAAAAGGTAGATAGTAGCTTGGACTATAATGATGCTTAGAGGGAGAGACATAAGCAAATTAAAGATCAATTTACAAGAAAATACGGGTAAATATGAATGAAATATAGTGGTGTTGAATGGGCTGTTTAGTTTCTGGCTTGGAAGGCTGAATGATTGATGGGGCATGAGCTGCAATGGAGAACACTGAGATGGGGTTCGTTGGGTACAGGGCAGAATGATCATAAGGTCAATTTTAGACATGTTGAATTTGAGGTACCTAAGAAGGGATGCCAAATAGGAAGTTGGATGTATTGCTTGGAGTTAAGAGGAGAGAGTTTATAAATTGAGATATAGTTTGGAAATTAAAGTCATGGATCTGGATGAAGGTACCTGGCTGTGTGACTACAGCAGTAGGTCTCAACTCCAGCTGGACATTACAATCACCTGGGGAGATTTTTAAAAAATACTAAATGAAATTCAGTGCTTCAGTCACTCTAGCCACATTTCAAGTGTTTGGGAGCCAGATATCTATCCTGGCTACCATATAGATAGCACAGATATAGAATGTCCTAAAATGGAAGATGTGGTCAGCAGTGTCCAGTGATTTTGAGAGAGGTCAAGTAAGGTGAAGATGGATGTCTTTTAGATTTTGGGACACTGAGATCATCGGAAGACCTGTGGCAGGGCTATTTCAGGGGTTGAAAGGTGGGGAAGTCAGATGGGAGTGGATTGAGACACGAATGAGATATGGGGAAATAGAAACAGCAAGTAAAGGTAAATCTTTTGACAACTATGGCCATGAAGTAGAGAAGACAGATATGTGGTGGCTGAAGGGAGGGTGAGATTAAGGGGAAAAAATTTTAAGTGTATTTTTGTATAATTAAGTATATTTTGTATGTTAAGGACATTTTGTGCATATAGTGAAGTGCACAAATCTAAAGTGTATAGCTCAATTAATTTTTCAATATGTATACGTCTGTTTTGCCACCACCCAAATCAAAGTACAAAATGTTTCTAGTAAGCCTGTCCTATCTTGTATTAGCAAAGATGAGCTTTGCCTGTTTTTGACCCTCAGATAAATAGTATCATTCACAATGTTCTCTTTTGTGTGTCTGGTTTCTTTTGCTTAGCATTCTACGTGTGAAATTTGTCCATGTCGTTGCATGTAACAAGAGGGTGTTTTTCGTTGTTGTATAGCATTCCATCGTATGACTATGGTGCGATTTACTTATATATTCTACTATTAATGGACACTTGAGGTGCTTCCAGTTTGGGCTAATATAAAAGAAAAGCCCACGAACATAAGCAGGACACTGTGATGGAGAGTAATGAAAGGCTGCCCAACCTGGGCATTAAGGAAGACCTCTGAGAGTCGATGACATGTGAGTTAAGATTTGAACAAGAAGGAGCCAGCCTCTAAGAGCTCAGTGAAGAACATCTCAAACAGAGGGAACATAGAGTGCAAAGGCCCTTGGGCTGATGTAAGCTTATGGTGTCTGTGGAACAAACAAAAGAGACAAGTGTGGGTGGAGCAATAAAAAAAATACATAAAAAAAAAACAGGGAGCAGGGTGACCAAATGGCATCAGAAACAAGGTAGAGACCAATGCTGCTCAAGGAGGGTGTCTATTAGGGTTGGGCTGAATGTGGATTTTTTTATACATGTGAGTTGGGTACATTAGTTGTGGGTGGTGGGACAATGAGTGTGTATGTTGGGAAAGTGGGGATATCCATCTTGTCTCCTTCTCTGTGAAGCTGCTCTCATATGTTCCCTCTCTCCCTGCAGCCTCCTGAATGATGCCAGCTCAATGTTCCCTAGCCTCCAACCTGGCCCTCCTGGTGCTGCTGGGCACAGTCAGAGCAGGTCCTTTCTCTCCACGGGCCAACATGACACTCCCAGCCCCACGGCCCCCTCCCCAGCCAGGGGGCCGCACAGGAGGGGGAAGCCCCTCTTCTCGGCTGTATGAGCACACCGTGGAAGGAGGGGAGAAGCAGGTGGTGTTCACCCACCGCATTAACCTGCCCCCTTCAGCTGGCTGTGGCTGTCCCCCAGGCACTGAGCCCCCTGTCCCTGCTTCAGAGGTACAGGCTCTGAGGGTCCGGCTAGAGATCCTGGAGGAGCTGGTGAAGGGGCTCAAGGAACAGTGCACTGGGGGATGTTGCCCTGCTGCTGCCCAGGCTGGCACAGGTGAGCAGATGATCACAGGAAGGTGCACGGAAAAGAAGGAAGGTGGAGATCATGGTTAGGGTTGGGTGGGCAGCGCTAGTCCATAAAAGACCCTGGTATGAATTAGCAAAAGGCACCCCTTCCTCTCCCTTGGGGGTGGTGAGTGCAGCCCATGGCACGGCTCTGAGAGAGGAGCCACCTATTTAGACATCAGCCCTCTCCTCCCAAGCATATGCTAGGGCACTGGGAGGCCACATATATTGACAAGTTGCAGCTGGAAACTAAGATGGCCTTAGGAAATGAGGCTGGCCCTGCTGGAGGGGCCAACTCACAGAAGCAGCCTGTCCCCCGGAGAGACTGAGGCCCATCTTTCCTTCTTACTCCAGGCCAGACAGACGTTCGGACCCTCTGCAGTCTCCATGGCGTGTTTGACCTGAGCCGCTGTGCCTGCTCCTGCGAGCCTGGCTGGGGTGGGCCTACCTGCTCAGATCCCATGGATTCCGGGGTGTCCCCTTCCTCCCCACCCTCAGCCTCCGGGTCCTGCCCAGATGACTGCAATGATCAGGGTCGCTGCGTCCGCGGTCGCTGCGTGTGCTTCCCTGGCTACACCGGCCCCAGCTGTAGCTGGCCCTCCTGTCCCGGGGACTGCCAAGGCCGCGGGCGCTGCGTGCAGGGCGTGTGCGTGTGCCGGGCGGGCTTCTCCGGCGACGACTGCAGTCTGCGCTCTTGCCCTCGGGGCTGCAGCCAGAGGGGGCGCTGCGAGGACGGGCGCTGCGTCTGTGACCCCGGCTACACTGGCGAGGACTGTGGAATGAGGAGCTGCCCCCGAGGTTGCAGCCAGAAGGGGCGCTGCGAGGACGGGCGCTGCGTCTGTGACCCTGGCTACACCGGCGACGACTGCGGCTCGCGGAGCTGCCCGTGGGACTGTGGCGAGGGCGGGCGCTGTGTAGACGGCCGCTGCGTGTGCTGGCCCGGGTATGCGGGCGAAGGACTGCAGCACACGGACCTGCCCCCGCGACTGTCGGGGCCGAGGGCGCTGCGAGGATGGCGAATGCATCTGCAACGCAGGCTACAGCGGGGACGATTGCGGCGTGCGCAGCT